AAAAAAAGACCAAAAAGTTTGAAAAAAAAAATTTTTTTCTTTGTTTCTGTTATAAAAGTTTACAAATAAATAATTGTTCTTCATAAATTTAGGCCGAGATGTATTCTGCTACATGTCTTTGGTGAAAATAACCCAAATTAGGATGTATTTTTTAGTTTGTAGGAAAGTTATAGAGTTCACAAACTATGGTATATATCTGATTATTGATCAATCCTGAAGTACTGACAGCCAATCTACTTTCTTGAGGTCCAAGAATGTCAGAATAGTACAGATATCCCCAAATGACCCCTTTTTGCAGAGTAGACAGTCCGACGTACTTCATAAGAGGCATGGCGAGTTTTTTGAAGTTGTATTTTTTTGTCATAATTTTTCGGAAAATGAAAAAATTAAAAAAATGATTTTCACTATTTTTTTTTTTTACATACTGTCACCAGTGCAGTACAGCGTCATCATATAACTGGCATGGCGGTGAACAGGGACACTGACTGGTGACAGTATGAAAAAAAAAAATATATATTTTTTTTTTTTTTTTTTTTTTTTTTTTTTTTATTATATTTAATTTTTTATTACATTTTTTTTTTTTTTATAAGATTTTTTTTTCATATTTTACTATAACCAAAGTAGTACAATGTTACCATAGTAACATTGTACTACTTTGGGGAAGTGATCAGTATTTTTTTTTTTTTTTTTTTTTACACAATTTGCTTATAGCAAAGAATTACTTTGCTATAAGCAAGCATTTACCTGAATTAAATCGATTCATTCAGCTTTTTTTTTTTTTTTTTTTTTTTTTTTGTGCTTAGCTGTGATTTGGTCACAGCTAATCACATGACATGTGCATGTGATTAGCTGTGACCATTCACAGCTAGGCACTAATATACAATGGATGGCATCATGAATGAAGCCATCCATTGTATACAACTGTCATGTGACCTGCTGTGATTGGTCACAGCAGGTCACATGGTACCAGCAACGGGAGCCGGTACTCGGATCTGTCATCGGCCGTGTCCGAGGTGCACGGCCGGTGACAGATCACACTGCTGCGCCGCTCTGCATTAGCGCAAACGGCGCATGTGCGGGAGCACGCCAAATGGCGTGCACCCGGAATGCAGGGACACATTTGAAGCCACCAAACGGCCATTGGCTGGGCGGCTAATGGTTAAAGTAAACCTCCGGTACTAGTTTATGCACAGCTATTGAAAACTGCAACTTCCCTAAACCCCCCCCCCCCATTTTTTTAAAACTCTGTATACTTTTTCACTGGAGTTTTTTTGTTGGTCTGATGACATCCCAGAACTTTCCTATCCTTTCTCAACATCTGTTGGTTCTTCCTCCTGGACTAAGCAGTGTTCATGTAGCATCCTCCTAGTTTAGCTAGTGGGAGCTAGACTCCAATGGTTAGACAGGGGCCAAGTAGCAGTCCAGGTGTAATAGCCAGAGAAGAGTCAAAATTGGGTCAGGAGCTGAGAGGCTCTGCAGGCCAGCTCCTCCGGTATTTCCCCTTACTTTAGGGCTTTTAGAGGAAGGCTTTAGAGGAAGTGGGTGGATATAAGGAGTGGCTGGCGGAACTCTTAATGGATCCAAGCCAATCCCCAACAAGAGGTTGGCAAGGGGCTGGACACATTTAAAAGTGTTGGAGCCTGCTCAGTAGTAGGAGAGTTGGAGGGAGAGTTCGGGTGGAAGATGTGAGGCTGAGAAAATGAGGCTGTGAGGAGGCACAGTGGGATGCAGGCCTGGAGCTGGAAAGGGGGAAAGCTCAGAGCTCAACACCCCCCTGAGAGAGGACCACCTGTATGGCAGGGAAGGAGCGGCACAGCTGATAGGCCTGGTAGCAGCCACCAACCCACAAGTGGTACAGGAGAGGATGTGAGTGAGTACACCTACACCTGCTGGGCGAATAAGGGAAGAAGCACTCTGGTGGAAAACCAGCTTAGACACCTACAAGTGACTGTCTATCTCTTAAAGTGGCAGGAACTGAACCCCCTGTTCAGAGATACCTCCAGATTTCTGGATGAAGAGGAGAAGTTCATCTAGGGTCTGGGGTGGTACATTAGGGAGACACTGGATAGCTCTCCAATAGAGACTATGCTGCAGAGAAGGTTTGTAAATAGTTTCAGGAAGTTGTCCTCAGTTTGTCAGTAATCCTTTGGCATCCTGTACATCCCCAACCCTATCCCAGTTCAAATTCCCCAAATAAAATAACATAACCAAAGCTCAAGGACTGATTTCTGACTCTGGATGTAAGCTTTTGTGGAAAGTGATGCCTTGCTGCGCAGGACTATAGGGGGCACCCAAATCTTCTAGCGACTCCTAAGGGGTAGTGCTAATGAGTGCCTATTAGTCCTGGAGTACTGTGAGCCCAGACCTGTGTCAAGGATGATCTGGGCTCACAGGAAATGAGCAGAAAGATGCTGACTGTCCAGCTGGGCCATTTTTTTTAAAATATAGTTTTAGATAAAAGGTAAACATTTATGGATTTGTGGATAATAAAAAAACACTGAATTTCTATATCAAATTGAAATTGACAAAAAACAATTCTAGTCTTCATTTAGGAAAATAGACAACTGAGTTCATACTGATATGTTTAAGAAGAAGAGAGCAATGCAAATAGAGAGGCAAAGTGGAAAAAAAAAGATAATGATCTCTTGGATTTTAAAAGCTGCTTTCATTATTACAAAAATCAATGAAAAGGCACTAAAACAGATTCTGACGTCTTGCATCCATCATTAGAACTTCATCAAAAGCTTTATTGAAAAGGTAGGCAGGAGTCCAGGTATATAAAGGTAGTAAACCACTGAGGGGAAGATGCATTGAATTCACATACATTCATCATCAGCTAACACTGAGTATTGTACGGAGGGGTGGGCAGAGCAAAGAGCGACAAAGATATTCTAGGGAGTTATTGACACTATTTATATGTACTTTATATGTACAACAAAAATCTTTAGCGTACTGTATACCCAAAGCCAACTGTTTTTAAATTTGTGTTTATTTATTGTCTCGAGTGGAGAAGTGTGTTTTGCTTCTCATTACCTTGCTGGAAAGATTCTGTCTCTCTAAAGGCTCATTCATACTAGCGGTTGGGGGGCTGTAAAACCCTGTGGCTGAGCCTTGGCTGCAGCTGCACATTGCTACAGCTGTGTCAAGAATTATCCCCTCTTTCGCTTTTGGTGGGTGCTAAAGCCCACCATTCATGACACATTCAAGTGAATAGAATGTCTCTGCAAGTGCCCCCAACAGATGCATGCTCCAAGGGGTCCACCTTTCAAATGCTCTTTGAAGAGCAATCCAAACATAGATCACTCTTCAGAAACCAAAGCTTGCATGGGCAAACCCTAAGGGTTGGTTCACATCAGGAATGTGCTGTGGGTTCCTGTTCAATTTACATGCAGTTCTGTGCAGTGTGATTTCATTTTGCACTATGAATGGGCTGAAATTGCAAGCACCGTCCCACACAACAGCACACCAAAAGTAGTGCATGCACCACTTTTGGAAGAGCACTGCAGTCAGATCGCATAGAACTTTGGTACCATGAGCTATGGTGTGGGCAAACACACTGCATTTGCGACCTGCGTTTGGAGCGTCATTAATTTATTATTGACACCCGCTGTAGATAGCAACTACAGTGCGCTTTGAACACAGGGACAGGAAGCACGCATGGAATGGTGGTTTCCTGCATCACATTCTCCTTCCCTCTCCTTCCTCAGCTTCTGCCTGGAGGCAGAACCCTCCTTCCCCGATGGCCCCTCCCAGGACTCACAGTCCTCAGCACTCCATCTTCCATCCGATTACCAGATTCCCTTGCTGGTTAGGCTCTTTAATAATTATAGGCCCGTCTCACCACACTGCCAGGCCTTCTGCCTGGGATTGGTCAGATTCTCATAGATATTCAGATCCTTGCTTCTGCCCTTCGCCCACTAGTTTCTAGAAGTTTCCATGGACCTCCAGAACCAGGAGGAGGTGATAGAGGACTGACCTGCAGAGGCCTCCAGCTTGACCTGAGCTTTACCCCCCACAGACATGCTTACTTCAGGTGCACTGTGAGCCAAGATAAATGTACCTATCTAGCACACTACAGGGCACGACATATTCTTAATTGAAAAAATAGTCCCTTCTATTGCTCTTAACCTCCTCCAAATCTCCAAATTCCTTTTTTTTTTGCTGATGTGATCTGACTTCTTGCTACAGGGTGGCTACATTTGCTCTCCATGATCCCACTGTATGTAGGAACATAGCCTCCCTCTCTTGCACATTTCTGAGATGGACTATGGACTATGGGATTTGTAGTGTGCATAAATCATTACATGTGACTGCAATTAACCACTTGCCCTCCAGAGGATTTACCCCCCTTCCTGACCAGGCCATTTTTTGTGATACGGCACTGCATTACTTTAACTGACAATTGCGCGATCATGCAACGCTGCACCCAAATTCAATTTATGTCCTTTTTTTCCCCACAAATAAAGCTTTATTTTGGTATTATTAGATCACCTCTGCATTTTTTATTTTTTGGCGCTATAAACAAAAACAGACTGTCAATTAAAAAGAAAAAAACAATATTTTTGATTTTTTGCTATAAAACATATCGAGTAAAAATGTTTTAAAAACATCAAATTTAGGCCAAAATGTATTCTGCTACATGTCTTTGCTAAAAAAAAATCCCAATATGTGTAAATTAATTGGTTTACGTGAAAGTTATAGCATCTACAAATGGTGATATATACTGAAATTTTTTTTTAAATTTTATACTAGTAATGGCGGCGATCAGTGACTTATATCGGGACTGCGGGACTGTGGTCGGCATTCTGACACTGGGGGGAACTGGCTAACTGTCACTGACATCTATATAGTGATCAGTGCTAATAAAAAGCACTGACACTGTACTAATGACACTGGGTAGAAAGGGGTCAACATCTGGGGCGATCAACGGGTTATCAGTGTGCTGTGTGTGTTTTACTATGTAGTCAAGCTGCTTTGTATTGCTCTGCTGTGCAAAGCAATACAAAGCAGCCTGTTCATGCTGACAGGGGAGAGATCTGTGTTGTTTACACACAGACCTCTCCATAGACCTCTCACCTTTCACTGTTCCTCAGGGATTGCTGGGTGGCGGTGGGGAATCTCCATCCGGGACCCAATGAATGACAGCTGTGGCTGCCAATGTGAGCGTGGGTAGGGCAGTGCACACACACGCCCCCTCTACCCAAAAATGCAAAATCAATTATATACTGTATAGGTGATTTTGCGCATCCCTGTCGCCTTGTAGCAGTAGTTCTGGTATAGGTTGGAGGGGAACCGGTTAACATGCACTACTCGATCCAAATAAACGAAAATGTGGGGGAGAGGAAATGTTTGGGAGCTCATGGGGGATTTTAAACAAAGGCATAAAACACAGTAAGAAAAAATGTCTTTAACAATAAATTACAAGGCCATTAAGTAGTGGATATGTATGAATTCATTTTGGAAAATAAGGATATTGTTGAGGATGAGGTTGGATGAGGTTTTAGTCTGATCTAGAAGTGCTGCGAAAAGTTTGTTGAATTTTCCTGCAGCGGATTATACAACTTTTTGTTAAATATAAAATAAGTGGACTTTGCAAAGAAAGTAGAAACAGCCGCACTATGTAAAGTTACACAATAGAGCTTTATTACAGGAATTATTGCTGGGATAAAGCAGTATGGTGTGGCTGGGGGAATCTGTTTTTATTTTTGGCCGGCACACTTGTAGGCAGGTGTAGTGTGGCCTCCCGGCACAGCACCACCATGTATGTAAAGTGGAGGACAGGAGGAACTCACGTTCCTTTTAGGCCTCCATACGTGTCATCAGGTGAGTAGTTGTTCAATTGGATGCTGCTGCCATGAATGACCCCACGACCATCTTTAGTGAAGGCAGTGCTTATAAAAGCATTGACTCCCTACAGTTGGAATGCGTTTTATGTGTGGATAGGACAGGAAACCACTGGTCAAGAAGAGTGTGCCTAGCATAAGGAGAGGTTCCAGCGGAGAAGGGACAGAATAGGAACTGGTCGCCAATTCTTCAGTGTGGAGCATTTGCTCTACAATGCATATAATGGCAAGGGGTGTTGGGGTGTGTTGGAGGGTCTGTTGATGCTCGTTGGTGGGGGATCTATTTTTGCTCATGGGGAATCTTTTGATCAGGAAGGGTCTATTGTTGCTGAAGAGTCAGTTTGTTTCTGGGAGGGATGTTCTGTTGAGGGAGGAGTCTGTTGTTGCTGGCTGTTGGGAGATCTATTGTTGCTGGCTGGGGTCTATTGTTGCATGAGTGGGTCTGTTGTTGCTGGAGGGTGTTTTGTTGCAGGGGGTACTTTTATTGCTGGCAGCAGGGGATCTATTTTACTGCTTTATATGTTATCATTAGCAAATTCCATACAAATTACTTAAAACCACAAAATTATAGTTGGTTCTGTATTCTAAAAGGGGTGGTACTGGTAGGTGGGTAGGTGGTGGAACCAAAGGATGGCGCTCGTAGGTGGGTAGGGGGCGTAGACAAGGGGTGACTCAGAAGTGGGGAGTTCCTGCACCTATTCTCTGAGTAAAAAAGGCCTGCTAGTACACCTTGTTGCGATACTGCTTACTAGCCACCTCTGCCAGGTACTGTCGGCATCCAAGTACTGTCCTCTTAAACACTTCCCGTCCGGCCCATGTATATAAACGGCCAGACTGGAGCAGTGCAGGGGAGGGTGGCCATTATAAACGTCCTCCCCGCTTCCTGCTTGTGCACGCTCCCTGGGATCGTCTGTGTGAGGTCCCGATCATGTGAACACTGATTGGCCAATCATTGATCACTTGAAGAGTAGTAAGCAAGATGTCACTTCTGACGTCATTGCTTACTACGAGTGAAATCTGTGAATGATCACAGAGGTCACATGGTACAAGGCTATTCACAACAGCCTTGTACCATGTGACAAGCTGTGACCAATCACAGCTCAAACAGTATTTCTCAATGGCTGCAAGAATGCAGCCAGAGAGAAGGAGAAATTATTGCATTTACAGCCTTTTTGGGTGGTAAAGCAATCAGTGTAAAAAAAAAGAAAAAACAAATCTTCATCACCCCCCACAAACAGTACAGTGTCACTATGGTGACACTGTACTGCTAGGGTGACAGTATGTTAAAAAAAAAACATAAATAAATAATAATATAAAAAAATTAAATAAAAATGTAAAAAAAAAATACAATATATATGTAAAACGCTGCGTAAATTGACGGCGCTATATAAGTACCTGAAATAAATAAATAATTCAATTATATGTAAAAGTAGATATAAATCCTGTGAAGAGTTCTTTTCAATCCTTTAAGTGCGCTTTCAAATGTGCAGCCGGCCGCCTACCCGAACTAGATGGGGCTGTACACGTGCCACGCTGGTAATGCTTTGCTTTACATCATCCATTGAGTTTAATGGGGCCTTGCTGAAACCACATGCACTACCGCACAATTGTGGCACAGTACTTATAGGGTTAAATCAGACAGTGAGGAGGCGATATAACACCTCCTCCCACCTGTCAAATGCCCTCTAAAAAGCAATCTATGCATAGATCACTCAGGGCACTGCAAGTGTGAAAGAGCCCTAAATCTGCAGCTTTCATAAAATAACATCTGGTGATCCTGCCATGAAGGTTCTCAGACTCTTCCTGTTATTGAATGACAAAGCTCTGCTTGGGCATCCTTAGAATTCATATGCAACCCGAAATCCAAACTCCTGCTTTTCCTACTCCAATAAACTGGGGTGCGATGATATGCATCCAACGCAGGAGCAAGTGTATGCAATGTATTTAGGGCAGGTGGGTGTTACTCTCTCCATGTTCCCCTCCTCGTTGGGTGTCAAGTGTGGGTTACATGAGAAACCTACCCTGGGGTGGGTTTTTCTGGGCTATGCTAGGCACCTGTAACAGGATCTCTACTTCACATATGGGGTACCTTTTCTTTGTGCCTTTTTCACCAATGACCTCGGATAAGGCTGAGGCCAATGTGGGGGAATACTCAACCTTAAGATGGGCCCCTACACTTAGAGATGAAATTACACCATGTACACTTGCACCACAACTGTTCTCCAGTTAACTCTCGAGTTCCCGTGTAAATGTACATCTTCCCACTGTACTTTTCAATTAGCAGGGACATGCTAAGCTTTGTCCACAACCAACCGTCCAGCTTTTTCTACTACTGTTCTCAGTAGCAGACTGGACCCTGCCGTTCACCAAGCGTGGGCTCCACACATGCACTTGACTTGAATCTTGAGCTTCCATACCTCTTTGCAGGATGGGGACATCTGCGATGCGAGTCCGCTCCCATTGCTATGGGAGACAGACCACAACAGAAGGACTGCTGACAACATCTCCCTCGCTGCTAGAGTCTGGTCCACGTATAACAGGTACACGCTAATGACAGGCTGCATTAACTGACTGTAGACCTCTGTTACCCAAGGTAACCATTTACTGTACTGCACTAGGATGACTCTTAAGTGCTGTCTCTTCATACCCCAATATGCTAGTGACCCAACAGCTGTAGAAATGTGTTGGTTACTTGCATTGCACTCCTTTAAATGACTTCAGACCAGGAAGAAGGCAAGGTTTCAATGCTTTACTTAAGAAAGATATTCACAGTCCATAATATCATAAATCAACTCTTGTCCCTACATCCCTAATCCTAACTCAGGCTATGTGCTGCCCTGGCATACCTGCAAAGATAGATTAATGTACTAAAAGGTCTATCAATGGCATAAGTGACTGCTGTCTTCAGGGCAAACCCCAGATCTCAGTGCCTCTACATCTTGCAGGTTTCTCAGTTGCTGCACTTCTCACAGACCAAAAGCAGGACTCTGACTCTCTCTCCACAACCCCCGGGATCTCTGCTCTGGACCACTGTCCCTCTTTTATATGACAGTACCAACTGGTGGAACCCAAGAAACCCTCCAAGCAAAACACTTGGGAAAAAATTAACTCCAACCATCCTGCCTGAGGCAGCACCTAACTAGCTCAGTTGCAACTCACTTGTAGACAGGAAGTGGCTAAAAGAGATTGAAAGTGATCAGCAGCACTCAGAACAAAAAAAAGAGTGCAAAAAGGCAAAAACAGTATTAAAAAAAAAAAAAAAGACAGCTGTTTATCATACACAGTTTTTTGGCAAATGGAATGACATCCAGTTAGGGTTTACATCTATATTAACATAAACTGGCTTGCCATGTGCTCTTAATGGCCCTTTAAATCCTTATTAAGGGATTACTTAATAATACAGGTTGTGCTTTATAATTGGCTAATGTGTTTATTAACATCAATTTAGCACCATCCGTGACCCTTCTCCGCTCAGTTCATACGGCAGCATCTTGTAACACATCTGTACAGCTTCGAGGTGAAAGCGTCTAGATCTATTAGCACCGGAATCACCACGGGCAAAATATCTGCGTTCACGTCTTAATCACCGATAGCGATGTTTCCCAAGGTTACTATACAATGACTCCTCTGTAATACATAATGATGCCTCCTAAGTATCATGGCGTGTTTTTGTCAAGGAAAATAAGACGGCACAATCGCCGCCTCTCTCTCTCCGTTTGAACAATAGCCGCCTCTCGAGCGTAAACGCTGATCTCTGAGTCAATGAACAAAACTGCTTAGGCTGCTGTGAATACACTGTCTTACGGGCTCGGCTGCTTCCACGCTTTGCAGTGCCAATCTGAAGCCTAAAAGCCCACGAGCCTTAGGAGAGGCACAGAGCGTGGCTGTGTGTACTTTACCAATTCACTGCACGCCATCTTTAAACATCGTCCTTGAAGTGATGGAGGTACAAAGTGCAGTTTAATCTCGCCATGCTAAAAGGGAACCTGTCAGCGTAGGAATATTGGAACTCTGATTTCTGGCTTGTATAGGGTATATAAGGCCAAACATTTATTTATTTATTTTTTTGTATACAGTAGGGTATTGTTAGAACCTCTGTCTGGTTTTTATTGCTGCCTGCATCCCTGCTGACAGGATTCACACTTTTTTTGGTCCTGGTGACCAAAACTCAAAAAGTGAAGATTTGCTAAGATTGCTATGTTATGGGGATTGTTTAGAAATGTTAATTGTGCCTAAACATTAGGCCTCATGCATACTGAACATTTTTGATGGTGCTCATAGGAATGTATGGCTTATTTTTCACGTTTAGAGGCAGAAAAAAACCTACTGCCAATATACCCAGGAGCAACGGCATTCTGGCAGAAAAAAGGCTTGGCACCTGTTAACGTGTGTAAAAGCATCTAAACACACGGTAATGCTAGGCGTGTATAGTGTCTGAGCAGTATTTAATTTCAACGGCCAAAGTAAATTATTATGTTGGCCAATTACATGTGTTACACACATTCACAAGCCTTAAAGGTTTTTCTGGCAAAGCACTGCTGATGGAGAGGAAAGGCATCTGGGAGAAATGACCAAAGCGTCCAATTCATGAGGCCTCTCCCTGGAAAAATTTACCTTTTCTTTGGGATTTCACCTGAATAGCTGTATATCTTCAGTACAAGATCTAAGGAACTGCTGCTTCCAAGATTTGGAGTGCTCAGGAGATTGGAGTGAGATTTATTGAAGTCACTACTGTGCTGCAGAGATGCTGGTAAGGCAGTACAGATGGCCCTCTTGTGCTGGGTCCAGGCTCCATCAGTCCAAAAGGGGGGCCTAGGCACCTGCTGACCATGTGGGACAGATGTACCCCCTTATTGCAGACGCCAATCTTCTTGTGGATCCCCTACAATGCTGCCAACTTCTCCTCCTCCCCCTCCCCCTCCTTCTGGCTGCACTACAGGGGGGATCACTGAAGTATCTGTGCCCCACCTCCCTGCTGTCAGGGCCCCCCTGCATGCCCTTTCCCCTGCAGCGCTGCCAGCTTCCCTCCTCTCCTATCCCACTGGTAGTTACTAAGGGGACATGGAGATGTTTCAGGATATAACATTGCCTATGTAAATAAGCCCCAATACCCCATTCTCACGCAGGCTTCGAATAATGAAAAAATATGTTGGGATAATGGGAAAATCTGAATATTCAGTCTTAAAGCTGAATGCCAGGGAAAGGAAAAATGTTACCATGCAGTAGGCCTGCCCCCACACGGCAGGGGGTAAATGCTTTTCTTATGTCTAGCAGGCTCCCTCCGGACTGTAAGACCGGTCCCAGCAGCTTCTTCTGAGCAACTCTTCTGATGTCATCAAGACCAATGCAGGGTTCATAGCACTGCAAAAGATGTGAGAGACATGAGGGTGCTAAGCAACAGTTCACTGCTGGAGCATGGGGGAGCAGAGGGTTGAGTAGGTAAAACTTCTTCTCCTGTACCCTAGACCAAAACAAGCATTTAACCTGTGCAGTGTACTCCAAGGGTCCTATCCACACTTATCCCTAAACACTTACCTGGCTCCTGCCACCATTCCAGTGCTGTCTTATCTTCAGCACTGCTCTTTTCACTTCCTGGTCTCATAGGACACGTTGAGGGCAATGATAGCCATAGGCTCCTATTGCTGTCAGTTAAACTCCTGTAAGGAGGGATTGGGGGCAATGGCTTTGAGGTGCTGTGTGTGTCTGTGGACCTACACAGCCTAGCTCGGGATTGTGTACACATGGGTTCCCCCCCAGTACCTGGCTTGCTGAGGGGGCACCTGGAGGAGGTAGGAGTGGACAGAAGTGGCAGGGGACTCCCAGAAGAGGAGGTAAGGGACTTTTTTGTTAAATATCATTGCACAGAGCAGGTAAGATTTATTATTATTATTATTATACAGTATTTATATAGTGCCAAAAGGTTTGCTCAGCGCTGTACATTATAGTGGGGGACAGAACATGAGACAGTACAGTAACAAAGCAATACACGAGGGGTTCGAGGCCCCTGCTCTTTCGAGCTTATAATCTAGGAGGGAGGGGATAGTGGTACAGGAGGAAGTGGCTGTGGGGGATGAAGTGGTAGGAGGAGTGGAGGAGATCGGCTGTTAGGT